CTTCTTACTATATTCCCTTCTGCGCCACGGATGGAACGTTCTTTCTCTAGTGAAAATCTATGTTTAAACTACTTTAAATTAATTCAGCTGAAAAATGGAAAGAGTTCCCAATGATCAAACACAATCAATTTTTTGGGTCACCCTTTAGTCGAACATTGGAATATTGGAGATATCAAAACGTTTGCCATTATGTGAGATCTATTTGAGAGAGATTTCTCCTCTAAAAAATAAAAGCTAGATATTTTCAGCTTTTACAGTTACTTTTCTAGACAATAAAAATGAATTGTCGCCTGAGCCAAAAACTTTGATCTGATACCTTTAATATTTTAGAATTAAAAGATTCACCATGTTGGATGACACCGTTAGACATTTTTAAAGCGATCTGGAACTTCTGCTCCTCCATGATGCACCCACACAGCTTTGCGTGAGTGGAGATACTTTTCGCAATCAGAATCCCTCATCTCACAAAGCGTGTTAACTCCACTGAGATTTTGATGAAACAGGCGTCATATCGACTTTTTTGTCAATTTGCATTCCATTTATATTGTTTTTCAAATGATAATTCAAAATATATGGAAAGAAGTTGTTGAAACTTTTCTAAAAAAGTAATTCCCTCATGGCGGGAGACGTAACGGAATTTTTATTTGAGATATTCTAATACCGAAAAAAGCAGGAGGATGTCCGAGAACCTATTGTTTCAAAGAATATCTAAAACAAGAGAGACATAGATAAGGATTACGACCACAATGATTTTCACGTTGTAAGAATGGTGGACAGCGATGATCCTTTGATTTAATGCTAAGTAACTTATTGTCAGCTGAATGTAAGTTGAACAGGGGACAGCGCGAGCGATGAAACATTATCGACTCGCGTCTGCTCACCAGACATCTAGTAAACAACATTCAGCTTGTTTTCGTCGTTCAGAGTTCTTTTCGTCCATTCGACGGTAGAGCACGATTTTACTGTCTGCTGTTTGGCACTATGGATTGCGAGTGATAAATATGAGCCCAATCTCCATAGCCTGCTCTAAATATGAAAGAAACATGGTGAATCCAGTTACGGACATGCATTGTCTACCCAATTTTTTAACCTACATAAAGAGATTTTAATTGTAGATGTATCGAATGCGATCACAAACGTTTGTGGTAAAATACTTGGCTTATTACGTCTATGACTGTTTAGCATGATTAATTCATATCTTATATCGTTTACAATTCCAAAACTTAGTCTCTCTAACCATCATGCCCTTGTAAGGACTTCTTTTATTCTCAATCTAATCATACTGATAGAATTCTAGTAGATTTTAAAAATAAAAATAAAATTGTAAGTTATCGACTTCCCAGTCTGTTCATATCATTACAAAGATGGGAATATTCTTATGAGATAAAGCTAATCTCATTTTCCGCTTATGTTTATTTATACAAAGACACTTCAAAAGGAACCATAAAGCAACAAGAATTCATCCTCAAAAATGTTTTTTGCCACTCTTAGGTCTTAAAGAAGACGAAAAACCGTTGAAGCTTTAAACCAATAACGCTCTATACCAATTCGTGGAGGAAACTATTCGGAATAAGATAAAAGATTTATTAGAAA